CTTCAAACACATTCTGCGTGTTTCCCCATTCCAAGAATTGTGTATCTGGAAGTATAGCCAATCAGGCACAGAGGTATGTAAAAGCTACAGCAGATAAAGTGACAGTGATCAATCTGATTTCTCGACAACAAATTCCCCTCTCAACGGTATATGTTTTCAAGAAGCAGAGACGAGATTCTGGATCGCAAAATTTCGGTACATTAATCAATCATTTTCTCGTCTTCGCTCAGGAGTTAGCTTTATGGCTCGCTTGAGGTTTTCACTTGCTCGAAGAGCATGATGATTAGGATAGTATCTGTTTCCTGTCTCTTGGTCTCTCCTTGTTCCTCTGATCATAACCTTTCTCTTTTGTATATTTGCTACCGATATCTTTCTATTCAATATGGTTCAACCATCATCAAAGGTTCCGACCAACGCCCATTCACCTACTTTCATTGTCATAAAACACCCCGATTACCAATAGAAGGAATCAAAGACTACACTCAGAAACTCTTTCTAACCTCTACATCCCCCCTTAAGAATAGAGAGAATTTGAGCTCAAGAAACGAATATCTGCTTTGCAAAAAGTAAATCAATTCCAGTTTTCGAGCGCCTTATTTTACGTGGGATGATTCGATCAGAATTCATTGGCAAGAAGGTATTATTCTCATTTCATAGCTATTCATATACTGAAGTAGTGGAGCTCAATGGAGTATGAAGCCTCGGGACGGGGCTAGAAGAGAATCTCACGTGCGAGGAAAGTTTAAATATAACGAATACCTTCTTATCTTTCTCCGAACTCATGTAATCCTCACTCCGCAATTCACGGCTCTCCATGTCCTGAACCCACCGCAGGAAACTAATGCAATAGTATAAAAAGTCCCTTCTCCTCTTTCTTTTGCATTCATTTGTGCGAAATTGGGAAATGGACAATTCAAACTCACAGAGGTTTTCTGTGAAATACAACGATGCTTTTCTAAAAGTAAATCGTTGTGAAATCCGAAGTGATATTCCATTATCATGATACCAAAGTCCTATGAGAAAGTAACAAATGACAACGAGTATGCGGGATATACCTAGGAATAACAGTACTCAAAAAACTTGCTTTTTGGTATTCCCCTCAAGAAATATAAAATCGATAGTACGTACATATTACACGATGAAAATCCATCAAATCACAACAACGAATATACTTAGACAACGATATCAAACATCTCACTCTTCAATCCAATTAACACAGCCGATGCACGTCCATCACTAGCAATACGAACACCAGCACCAATACCAACCACACAAATCCCAAGCAACACCTAAAATCAATTCAAACAAGGACAAAAATATTCATTCGTTAATTACAACACAAGTACAATTAATAATACACCAAAAAGAAACCCCCAAGCCGCAGAATTTCTCCTTTTTTTCTTTCTTTCTTTCTTTGACTCCTAAGCCTCTCTAAATATCTAGTACCTAATATCTACCATCTGCCATCTCCCAAACCTTATTCCTCACTCATCCCTCCACAGACAACCTAGTCCTACTCCTCTCTCAAAACACGGAAACACCCTCCTCCTCAGATCGATGGGTTTGTGCTTCGTGTATGTGTGGTTAGTGCTTACCCCGCGTTACATGGTGGAGGCGAAAAGGAGATCTGCATGCTAGCTTGGCGAGCTTGACTACTCGTGCCGTCAAAAAGTGTCTAGGTATGGAACACTTTGTTTAGAGAAATGTACTAGAAGGCGGTAACCTTTAAGGTGATTGGCTGTTGGTGTTCAGCTGGTGGGTGGTATATGTTTTGGCGGCTGGAGGGATCGAGAGTCGTTGTGATGATATAAAGTTCTCAAAAGAAAGTTCAAGAACGAAAATTCTCTCCGTAGGGAAAAGATACTAAAATGATAATGATAATTATCTGTATAGATAAGCATTCTCTTTCTTCGACGTCTTTTGTCCGTAAATCTTGTAGTAAGAGTAACTCATAGATTTGTGAATGTACCTTTCAGAACAGCAACGTGGAAGAGAATTGAGATATTTTGATTGTTTCCGATACACTTGTGGTATATAGGTATATTGAATTGTATCATATGAGAGAGATCAAGAGAGCATTCCCAAGTCTTCAGAGTCCCATAGATTGATCGCACGCAAGCTGGGAATGGGTTGAGGTGCCTTGGAAATTCATTCCTGGGGAATCATACAAGAGGTGAAAGAGAAAGTGCAAAGAGGTAACAGAGAGTTGTGAATACTGGGGAATGATATGATGATAGTCACATGTTGTGTATATGGGGTGTGAAGTTGGCATTTGACTGCGGTGAAATCGAAAATTAATTATCACTTGGAGAGAAAAGAGAGCAAAGATTACAATAGTGTTGTGCAAGCGAAAGTATTGATTGCAAGTCCATATGGACACCATCAAGAAAAGATAGGGTAAGATGAGATGCATTCCAAAGATTGAATACGATTACATTAGAAATAATATTATCACAAACATAGAAGTCACCAAGTGCAAGAGGAAAGAAGGTATTTGTTTGAAAATCATAAAACATATTATTTGTATCATGCATGCGTATATACAATGCCATAAACTCGTAAAAGACCACTCGTAAGGATATCCTAAAAACCCTCTCGGGACCGATTGACCCGACCAATCCAGGTCCCCCAAACACCGTGAATTACCATGGTAGTATCACCCTTAAAACAAAACCGCCACTTTGTTGCCACTCGAATTTGTCGAAGTGTTTATTACATATATTTTTGCTACTCAGAGTTCGTAAACTCATCTAAACCTCGAGCTTTTGAGCTCCATGTTCAGCGTGTTGAACATGCTCAACACCAGTCTTGTCAGTCATGCCCATATCAGCGGCATAGGTGGAGTGAGGAACCCATTTGGCGGAGTTACGTGGGGTAGTCTCTTCCAACATGCGGTCGACTTGCTCGAGGGAAAGACCCTTAGTTTCCGGAATAAGGAAATAAGAGTAGACCAAACAACATGTGCAGAGGGAACCCCAGAGGAAGAAGACCTTAGCACCCAAGTTTGCTTGGCCCTTCTCGGTACCGACGAGGTAAGGAGTGATGACGGCAATGATACAGTTCCAGAGCCAGTTGGAGGCGGTGGAGAGTCCAACACCACGGGATCTGATTGGGAGAGGGAAAATTTCACCGATGACAACCCAAGCTCCAGGTCCCCAAGTGGTGGCGAAGAAAGAGATGTAGATACAGATTAATGCGATCATGGCGGAAACGGCAGAGGTGTTGTTTTCGGATGAACGACCAGCGGTAACACCGATGATAGCAACCATGAACTCGCAGATTAACATACCAAGGGCACCCCAGATGAGGATGGTACGACGACCGAGACGTTCAACGATGTAGAAAGAGATTGGAGTGGTGCAGACATTGACGAGGGTGGTGATCAAGCCGATAAGGAAAGGGTTGGAGATCGTGCCGAGAGCTTGGAAGAAGGTAGTACCAAAGTAGAAGATGAAGTTGATACCGGTCCACTGTTGCATCATTTGAAGGGAAGTACCGAGGATGGTTCTGCGGAGGTTGGAGCCTGGGTTGCTGAGTCCTCCCTTGAAGCAGTTCATCCATGAGCCGAAGTAACCAGTTTGGGGAATGACGGACATTTCGTATTCATGGTTGGCAATGATCTCAGTAAGTTCTTGTTGAATGTAATCGCTTCCTTCGGGTTCACCTCTGAGACGAGCAAGGTTGGAAGCAGCAAGGTCGAGCTTACCCTTCTTGACGTAATATCTTGGAGATTCAGGAAGGAAGAAGAGACCACCACCTAAGATAAGAGCCCATGCCATCTGAAGACCAATTGGAATTCTGTAGGAACCGGTATCGAGGCGGTTTTGGGTACCATAATCGACACAAGATGCGAGAAGAAGACCAATGGTAACGCAGAACTGGTAACCAGAAACTAAAGCACCACGAACCTTCTTGGGGCAAATCTCGGACATGTAAAGAATGATGGTAGCGGAGACGAAACCAACACCGAAACCAGCGATCAAACGACCAGCGACGAGAAGACCAAGACCAGTAGAAGCAGTTTGCAAGATGACACCGACGATGAAGACGAGACATCCGAGGATGACGGTAGTTCGGCGACCAATCCAATCAGCGAGATCACCGGCAATAATAGCACCAAAGAAGGTACCGGCAGAGAGAATAGATGTGATCAAAGATTTATCAGAGGCGGGAAGAACGAAAGCAGCAATTTCGGCATCTGAAGCACCAGGACCGGGAATTTCTTTGCCAGTCTGAAGGGTAGTAGGTTAGCTAGTGTTTGTGACTTGGGGTAATTGAAGTCATGACGTACATATAGTCTAATGAAATAGTTCATTCCCATGACACCAGAGATATATCCAGAATCAAAACCGAAGAGAATACCACCGAAGGAAGCAAAAGCACACATCATGTATGCCTTTGCTGTTACGGGTGCCTCAATGCGGGCGACATCCGTGGTTCCAGCCAATCCCGCTGTCATTGTTGCGGTTGACTTGAAATGTATGCGAGGGAAGAGAGAGGGAAAGGATAGAGTAGATGTAGAGTGAAGCTGGCACTCGGGATCAATTATTGATCGAAGGAGTATTGAATAGACTTTGTTGTTGAGACTGATGAGAAATAAAAGATGGATTTGGGAGGGATTTCGAGTCCCTTTTGTATCTGTGTCCCATGGGAATTGGGGTACTGGGGTACGGAGACAATTGGCATGGTTTACACGCTTGTATGGGGTGCTAGGGTTAGTACGGCCATGTCGCCAAAAAAGTCTTCCATATCGAATTGACTCCAGATGGAGACGCCGCACTCCACAGCAAATAGCGTTACCCCATGTCTTCGATGATCTCTCTCCAGACATCTAGACATGCATGCAGCTATGGCCCAGCCGAGGAGTTAGTCCGTGCGTGCAGTACCCCGAGTAATCGGTCCGTCTTTGTAAGGGATCAAGACTAACTATACTAGGGACGGAGAAGAGTGTGAAAGTAGATAGGTACTGGACTAGGTAGCATCCTCGGTTTTTTGGAATAATGTTTGATGAGTTGCGAGTATCATTTGGCGGTAAGTATAAAAGTATAAATGTACTAACAGTATCGAGTTAGACGAATATGTGATCGATTGGTTGATCAAGGCATTGTATGGTGCTAGATGTTTAAATCAGTCCTTGATTGAAATCTAATGATTATTAATTTTCTTTTTGCTTTCTCATCTCATTTGCTGAAATGAAGGATTTGAAATTTCTTCTTTCGGGATTGCCCCCCGTTCATGGTGTTGAATCGATCCAATCCTGTGGTTCGTACCATTCAAACTAACACTCAGAGAAGGGAGATCACGAGTCTAATTGGTTTTAACTGATAAATGATAATCGATTTTAACGATTTATGCAATTACAATAATCCTAACTACCAATTTCTCTCAACGGTATAGCCGATAGATTCTTAATGAGGATCATTTTGGCCCCTCCACAAACTTTGGATCTTGAAAGTTTCATGCACTTGAGATCTCTCGAGCCTCTTTCGTGGCAATTTGGAGTTAGATATTTCTTATACCAGCTTATGGGTCTTCAACAGTAACGTTGTCGAAGAACATTACAATAGCAATAAAGATATGCACACTGGAGGCAAAGTATGTACATAATTGACCGAATTTCATAAATATATCAGATATCCTAGTTGAGGATCATTTCATGCATCAACCCCCCATGTTCAAGACTCCAGAGGCAATGAAATTCAAGCCATCGACGTGATCAATCGTTGTGTATGAAACTAATTCGGCTTAGTACACTTGGTTGTTGTTCCTACATACTTCAATCTAATGACTTGGGGAAAAAGATACCTTGAATAGAGTTACCCATTTATCTACCTAGGGACTTCCTCGTAATTGATCAGTACAAAAAACCACGTTATTACGAATATAGTCTGAACTCTGGTACAAGTCCATTACGAGCGTCTTCGAATCAAATGACCAATTCATTTTTAAATCCAAGCTTCTGGGGCGAGGTACCGGTAGGCCTTTACGGCTTCATGGGATTTAATATTTTTCGATGGAGTGTGGGAGACTGCAAAGTGTCAAACATGTAGCGGCGTCGGCTATTAGTCTCAATTTGAGTGCATTAGTATTAACTTTGTAGGAACTGAGCCACATTGCTCCAGCATTTAGTGTTAAAACTAGAATGATAAACTTATTTGATGGAGAACCATTTTTTTATGGGATTTGTAAAGCATTTTAGTGTCTGATGTATAGTCTACAGTCTGGATTTTACGGGCAAATCCGTTGACTTGTTCTGGAATCTTTCCATGTCCCAATGCTGGAGTACTAGTAAATAGTCTAGAGGCTTCAAGTTTTAGATCGAGTATCATGTGAATGCAAAACAGTCTGATGAGTCTGGACTCCAGACTCTGGACTCTGGGCGGTGGACGGTAGATTCTGGGGATTATTGCAAGTACACACTCTCGTGATTTAACCATATCAACTAGGTAGGTCCGTATGAAAAACTTTCTCAACATTTTACCCATAGATGTGATTAAGCTATCAAGGAACCCCGAATGTGAGCTGTCAACGAAATAAGAATATGAAATGAAATGGCCCGAAGAATATCCCAATTCCGGCACAATATAACCGTAATTCTACCAAATGCCCTGGTGACCAGTGACTGATCACTAGTGACCACGTCCACGTCCACGTCCAACTTTGAACGGAGCCATTGATGATTGGGCCCCCTCACCCATTGTTTTCTTGCGGGCTCGGGTGTACCAGCTTGAAAAAACGTGTTGTGATTCTTGGCATGTCTACCCCCGGGCTTGTAAACTGCTTGGCTGCAATGTTAAACGCCGAGTGAGGACGTGTTTCCTGGTTATGGCGCTGGGATAGTGTCAGATATTGATATTGCGATGAATTCCGTTTGTGATGGCGTCTATTCACATGTTGGAAGTCATATGATTTTAGATTATGGATCTTGGTATTGTTGTCGTTGGAGTGTAAAGAAGTAGATGAATTAGAGTTCATATAGCGTTATCCTTCCATCTATTAGATTAATCATCAATACCGATCAACGGTACTTTGTTCAGTGGAGAGAGAATCACAATGTGGAATGTGAGTATCTTCCTATCTGTTTGTTTCCACCTTTTCCCTTTTTCCCATCTATTCTGTCCAATTTTCCTACTCGCCTTTCCTTCCCTATTTTCTTTCGTTCTATCATCAGAAACCCACTCATTCATCCCACTCATCTCCGACATAGGTAGTAGCTACTAGGTACGTACTCTTTCCTGCTTTTCCCACAATTACTCCAGAATTCAAACACTCCAGAGTCCAGAGAGAAGAAAGGAATAAGAACCCCCAGGTTCCCCACTCCCCGCTTTCCTCACAAATACGATACAATCCAAACTCCGTAGACCACATTCCTGCTTTAAAGCAAAGGAGATGTCCGCATTTACGCATAAGCATATGGAGGTAATCGGCCCTTTAACATACTTGCTTCAAATTTTCAATAACCCCAGGGCCCCGTATGAATCTATTGTATCCACTTGTACATCTCCAGACCGTATTATTAGTTTCTCCACTATTCATTCCCCTGTCCCCCAACTTTCCACTTTGCTATACCACGAGTACCTCGAAACATTCGTTTTTTTTTATGTCGTCGGCCGAGACCCCCGCCCCACCTCTTACTCAAAATTGGGAATATATCACGAGATAAAGGCTGATTGTATTTGTACTCGAACGGGTATCAGCTTTCACGAGTGTGTTACGAGCCTTACGAGCTGAATGGATGGACTGATGATTGATGATATGAGGCTGGATGACTGTATCACTCATCCATAAACGCCTCCAAGCTGAAGCCTAGAGACATTCTGATCTGAACCGATATACAATCATGCCATCTCATTCTGTACTTTTCGGGCGGTTTGTAAAGCACTGTCTGTGCTGACGGTACCTTGGATTTGGTTCAACCTTACCGCCATACATCCTCCTCCTTTGCAGCCAGCGGCACATATGTTCCAGTTCCCGTTCACCGCAGCAACGCCGATTGGACAGTCAGGTTTTATCCCTTTACAAAATGTAACTGTTTTCCGGATATACAATCTTCCCTTTCTCCGTACCAGCCACAAATCTTCATTCGCTTTGAAATATCGCGAGTTCTAGAGTTGAAGCTTTGAATCAATAAATCATGTTAATCCACAACAATGTCGGCACACGACAATGGAAGGGGAAAAAATTCAGACGTGGGACCAGGGGATACAAAAGAAGCTCCAAGCTTCGATCCAAAATATGCCCCTTCATCTGGTGGCGTGGCGCCTCCGGCAATCACTTGCGGATATTGGTTTACGTATTCTACCGATTATTTTCCTTGGTAAAGGTGGACGTCGGGACTCGGAGGAATAGAAGTAGAAAGGGCTTGAGACTGAAATATGATCCTGAATATCTAAATGGCTTCTCCGTCTCCTTTCTCAAAAATTCTGGGGAAGCACACAAAGTCGCGGTTGTTCGCTAGTGCGATGCCTAGTAAGTAATGTAGGAAAGTTACCATTCAATTTACTGATTGTTCAATTATTCTTCGTCAAATTGAACTCTTCACATGCAAAGTATGCACTGCTTGCTAACTTACTTCTTTGTTCTGACCGATTATTGCATTATCGCAATCAAAGAACCACAGCATCAATGACACGAACTTGAATATGTCCCTATCTATCTTCCGATTTCAGCCGTGTCTTACTCGGGTAGAGGACAGTAACGTTGCGAAAGGTCCGGACGTACGAGAATTATGGCGCGGTGTACAAAGTTGTTCTGGAAGATGCGAAGAAGAATAGGAAACAAGATAACGATCAATAGACAAGTACAGGTACGACTGATCTACGGTATGATATGATATCAACTGTTTCGATTTATCGATGTTATCTTGTGGTCGCAGCACAAAACCAACATTACATCCTACTGTGGATGACCGAGAAGACTCGTGCAGTATCGTACTGCTTTTCGATAAAGTGCTCATGGAGAGACTGCAGTGTTTTCTGTATACTCGTTGTAATATATTCGGAATGCAGCGTAGATGACGCAAGGTGGGTTTATATGAGGGAATCAAGTACTATGGTATTCATACACCTAATGGTCACCTTCCATATGCTATATCAACGCAGGAATTTATTGTTCCAGTTGCGTTGTGTTGATTGCGATCAGCCTATACTTTGGCAGACAAATGGTTTCTTGCAGTGTGATGCGTGGGGACTATATGTTACGAGCGGAGATGCCGAGTCGATACGTGGGGGAAGTATGATTGTTGTCATATCATACTTTTTCGACGTCCCTTTCAATTCTCTGCCGGTTGCGAAAGATGGATTTTTGTTCAAGGATGCCCAAGCTGTAAATATACTTTCCGAGGATAAGCAGCAATATTTTCCCCCCCCAAAAACACAAATCTCGTTGCCTGTGCCCTCCAGATGTTGAGCGAGCCACAGGTCCTAGCTTAGTAGGTGTAACAATTCAAATTCTCGTTCTTCCCTTTGAGAGGTCTTAGTTTCAAATTGAGATGTTTTCTTTTTTACCGGTCTGCGATCTTGAGTGTTACCGTCATTGTGAGTCTTTCTCGTCGTCATCCTTTTTCGTTCTTTCAATCATAATGGAAATCTACTACTGGTGCAATACGTGTATATTCAAATTTCATTTCTTACTGCTTTATCTTGCAGGCAATCTATCTGTGACTGATATGTTCATCGAGTCTTGGCTTTCGATGTCTGTTATTGTCACAGCTTAATAGTTTCATCTTTTCATGCAGTCCTGTTGCGTCATGACTTTCTCATCGTCAGCAATCTCAATATTAACCCCCTTTCCAAAGCTATCAAGATGTATAGAGACACTGCGCAAGGATATCCTAGAGTGTAAATCAAATAGTTTACTAACTCTCTCTGGAAAGAAAGAAAGAGCTATTGTACTATCGATTGTGACTCCCTTCATTTGTTTACATCGGTCTCGTGCCTGTTGCTACTAACTACCTTGGTTATTGTAGTAGGAGGGAGAAATGTCATCGAAATTGTTGTTGTAACTGTCAGTACGTCGAATCACAGTATATGTCCTCTTGTTGGAAGTATAGTGATAAAATACATGTTCCACTTCCCATATCAATCCTTCATTCTCGTCTTCCGGTGTTCCTTCTCTGTACTTGAATGCTCGGTTTGACGGTGTGAAAATGACTAATTCTCTGAATAGTCCTCAGCCGTGAGTCTCGCTACTACTACCACTTTTACATGAAAAATTAAAATAAACGAGCTAGCTCAACTTATATACTTTATTTCGGGTTTGGGATTTGAATCTTCATGAGAATGAGAATAGGAAAGCGAATCTAAACTTTGAAGATGTGGACTCGTGAATTATGGGATTGGGAATTGGGGATGGGTATATTTGTCTCTGCTCCGGGATATTCGAAAAGTCAGAAGAGATTTGAATACAAAAGCTGATTGAAGAGTTAGGTATGGAAAGAGGGATTATTTGCGGGTAACGGGGGTTCAGGAATTGCGGGTTTTGAGAGTTTTGAGCTTGAGCTTATGGTTGAGTGATTTGCAAGGTAAGAGAATGGGAAGATGTTCTTTTGTGTGGTTTATTGTTACCTACTACTTGTTGCTTGTTACTGACTGTTTTATTGTTGGTATGTCAAGATTATTGTTTTGTTTTATAGATTGATGGTTGTATTTTGTTGTTTCTTTTATTTGCTTCTTTTCGGTGAACTCTTAGGTATAGTTTAGTATCTCCTCTCATGACAGATTGAAGGAGATTGATAATGTTGTGATGATAATACGATTGGTGTATAAATGGCGCAATATCTCTTTCTGCTTAATCTACCTGCCATTTATTATGAAGTTATTTAAGAGAAGACAATTAGGAAAGATGTTGATCTTGACAATCTTTTTGGTTGAGATCGTTGTTCAGATATTCTGCGTTTGAGTATCCAGTGGAGTGAACAGACAATCTTGAGTTTTATTTTCTTCATCTGTCTAGCTTCGGAACTATAAAACCTTTGGCAGAGAAAATGCATGTCGTTCTATAAAATAATCATGGCTTCTTCTCCTCGTTCTCTGTATAAACTTAGACTACTGTTCAAGGCTATCTCAAGGGACGACGGTCATTTATTGAAGTGCACGGCACTTTAGAAGGCTTTCGTGGGGATCTGGAGATGAAAGGAGTTCATTATATGATGGATGGTTTCAAGTGAGAGGCGCTTCACTCTCATCTCATCAATGTCAATCGTTGTCGTCAATACTTAATTTTCATCAATCGAAATCCAGATATTAATGCTGTCATCCCTCATTAAGCTTTAATATCGAGATCTACCATAAGTGAGCCACATTTAGTCTAGATAGAATCTATAATTTTGTGTTAGACGAAATATCATGTAACTACCTAACTAACTTAATCAAATCTTCTGATATCCCACACCTGGTCTATAACTCATTGTTCATCAAGTGTTGGTTAGATTTCTTTCGTATGAGAGAATCGTTGATATATATACTTCTATACCCCTTGTCCCATCTCGGATTCCCCAACTATCCTTCTCCAATTATTGTCTGGCTGAAATCTTGATTCTGGAATATAAAATAAGTATATCTTCTTGATCTGTTTCAATATTACACCTTTGGATCTGATGAACGTATTGGATTAATGAAAGAAATCTGTGTGTCTACTTGGTTGTATAAAGATGGAAAGAATGGATCGACGAGTTTTGAGCTTGGGAGAGAGCTGAGCGCAACAGAAATTCGGATTCTGTTTGCTGTCGCTATTTTTATCGCCGTTTTCGTTCTCTCCGACAGTTTTTCATTTAGAACTCTTTCACTGTTGATGAGAAGTCTGATCACTCGGAAATAGACTGATTGATAATATTCATATTCATTCTTCCATCTGAATCACCCTGAATCTGATACCTTTAGTTTAGTATATTTGATATCTATAACCCATCCACTTAGACGCACGATCAATCCTTACCTCGTATGTAAATAGATCATAGTTCATGTTCACAAAGACCATTTACCGGTTTGGCATGTGCTCACTTCACAAGTCGCATCATTATGAGATTCAAGACCGAACCTTCTCCTCGTTTAATCCAGGTATCCCTATCAAAGTATCCCAGTATTCTATGCATATGTGCGCATTCACGTCAAACTCCCAAGTGTCCCGAACTGATGCACAAGTATAATACCTCCTGAACCTCTCCTTTTAATAACCTTTCCTTTCCTCGTAGAAACATATCATACAATTTTCTGAAATCTTAGGATCTGAGGGGACATCGGCGAGGTCATTTGAGGCCCAAAAACTAAACCCCTGGTCCATAAGATCTTAGCGATAGCAGATGAACAAATTTTCTTACTAATTTGCTATCAAGTGAAAGCTAGCGTTGTCATTTCAAAGCCATTTCATCCTCACTGCTTTAAGATGATTCACATAGATATAACTTACACAGAACCGTTGATCTTGGAACCTGTCTAGAGATATCGAGTGAAAGATCTCAACATGAAGTAATCTTCCACTGTCCCACATTTCATATTTCCGCCTTGGCTTCTTTCGTTTTGTGTTCTGATCTTATAATCTGAAGGACAACTTGACTTTTGGAAGCGATATATAGTAGAGTTTTGGATTTCAACTCGAATTTGAAGTGAGGAAATCAGGGCGAATGTATGTATAGTGAATATGAAGACCTCTGACCTCCCCACTACTACCTACCGGATTTGATAGATCTTAGAAGTATTGGACGATCTTCAATGGGGTCTTGTACCGAGTGACTATATAAAGCACATACCATTCAATTCTTATACCGGTAGTATCATAATATTCGAGTAGACACACTGAATTCAAGCAGATGTACAAAGTACGGAGTAGGATTCGATTTTCTTTTGTATCCAGAACCACAAGTAAATCCTGTCTCTTCTTCTTCTCAAAATATGTGTGTAAGTGTGAGGAACAAGTGGTGATAAAAAGGATGTTCGGGGTATTGTTGACACTGAGTATTTTGATAGCTAGCAATGAGAGCGAAAGTAGTCGGAATGAGCGATGATAATGGTGAATGGGAACTCAAAAAGGCCATAGGCGACAATTGAAAAGTAGCCATGCAATTGGATACATCGATATTGCTTGAACTTAGTCGGTATTTAGAACTGACTTGATCGGAAAATGAAGTTGAGACCTTACAAATTTTTGCCGTAAGGGAGTAAGACTATGTGATTGAAAGGATAAAGTGTCACAAGCTCGACTCTTATAGAAAGCGGTTGACGAACAGTCGGTAAAAGATAGTGAATTATGATATCAAAAAAATTCACATTTTGTATTTCCTACATCTTCGATCTGATAAATGCATATACTGTTTCCTTCATTCTTCCCTTTTTTTTTCACAATGAATACCAAAATCAAGCAACAGTGACGAAAAAGTTACTCTGCCCCTCCATTCTCTCCACCTTCCCCATCTCACTAATCTCATCACCAACCGCCATCCTCAATTTCTCCACCGTAGCCGGACTATCCAAATTCCATACTCGTTTTACCTCTTCCGAATTCATTCCCAATCCATTATTCTCTCTCGCACTCCCCACAGCCATTCTCAACGCAAAGAATACCCCCGCTCCCAAAAACAAGGGTGGTTCACCCACCCCTTTACTACTCTGTACACTTTTCAACCCCTGCCACATTTTTTCTTTTCCCTCCTCATCTTTAAGGAAGGAAACATTGAAAATCTGTGGAATATCCGCAAACCCAGGTATCTTATAAGTACCCGGACCTTTCGTAAACAACTGTCCCTCCTTCGTCCAAAGACTTTCCTCCATAGTATACAAGCCCAATCCTTGTACATAAGCTCCCTCAATCTGACCATAATCAATTGCCGGATTAATGGATCTCCCAATATCCATCAAAATATCTGTCCTTAAAACTGTATGGTGACCCGTGAGTATATCGAGTTCAACCTCCGTGGCAGCTACCCCTTGAGTAAAATAGTAGTACATATCCTTGACCTTTTCTTTATCATAGACTCCCCATTCATATCCAATCCGTGGCATCTTCCAAAACCCGCTCGCACTTAGATGAACTCGGTCTCTATATGCCGCATGTGCTAAATCTTTCATATTCGTGTCCTTTCCCAGCTTTTCTCTATACGGCGCTAAGCGTTCATTTAACTGTTTGCAAGCATCCATAA